TTAAAACTACACTCAAGTAACCATGTTTTAAAATAACAATATCTACCCATCTACCCATCCTCCTTCAAAATTAGACCAATGTCTTGACTATGGTGGAGTGAAAAAAGCCCAGGAGTTAGGAAGCCTGCTCAGTTATTAAGCAGCTGGGTGGCCTTGGGCAAGTCAGTGAGCATCTTCAAGTCCGAAACACAATTTATTATTATCCTGTTAATCTAACAGCACTATAAAGACGCAGCCTTCACGTCTGCAGAGTCCTTGATTATTCTAAGAGACTTAGCAAACTCCAGGACACAGGGCCATGCCACTGCTATCTGAAGTTCAAAAGAGCACCCCACCACCACACACACTCTTCCAAACCTAGAGGGCCAGAGGGGGATGGAATCTGAGCCCTTAGCCCCTTCTTCTGCCTTAAAGACAGACAGTCCAACTCAGGCCCTTGACCTAGAGCTAGAGATTAGGGGAGGGGGATGCTCCAGACGCTTCACCCTCAGCCAGTGTGTGTGTGTGTGTGGGGGGGGGGTGTCCTGGGCCTCTGGTTGCCACTACACAAGAGCTGCCTTCAGAATGGGTTGGGTTGCTCTGCACGTGTCGCGCCCCAATGTAGCTGGAAGGAGCAGCGCAGAATTTGCAAAGTTAAACAAAACCCCCGTGGCGCACAAAATCTACTCTCAAGGCTTGCCCAGAGAATACCAGCGATTAAATCCTTCCGGCAAACTCTTAAATTTGAACCCTTGACGCGACAGCCTGGGGGCAAGATGTTCCGCACTCAGGCCACCTCTCCCTCCCTCGCCTCGGACCCTTGCCGCCCCCCTCACTCGTCCCACGGTGGGGGCGGCACTCAGTTCCCTGGTGCCCGGCCCCTGCTCTACCTCTTGACGACTGTCCTGGTCCGGCCAGGGAATGAGTCTGGGTGACCTGCTAGTCGGTCCAGCGACGCGGCCGCCGCAGCTAGTCCTGAGACGAGCTGCAGGCGCTGTGAGCGCTTGGCTCTGCCGCGCGCAGATTCCCCCACTCCCTGTAAAGCTTTCCGCCGTGGGGTAGGGGCTGATTCATAGCAATTTTCTCCGCAGCAGCTAGCTCAGTGCCTCACGTATACCTGTTTGCTGAATTCCCAGGGCTACGCTCACTACTTCTCCCCTTATTTAAAAACAATCACTGCTTCAAAATTCAGCCCGAGGGTCCCTTCAGCGTGCTCCTCTGAATTACCCCTCCCCTACTCATGCACAAGATCTCAAGTTACAGGTGAAGGAAAGACAGAGGTGGAGGTTCTGATGGATAAGAAATTTACCCCCAAACAAGAGCTAGTTAGGTCCAGATCTCCTGGACCCCACCTCAGCACACGTTTTGTTATACCACGTTGCTTCCTTTCCTTCCTGAGTCGTGTCATTCGAGGGCAAGGAGCATCTTTTGTTGACCCTTTGTACACAACCACTGGACTTGCCTCTCTTTCCCTGTCCCTTGTCTCCCATTCTTGACCAGGACTTATGCTCTTACAAATTCAGACAAAAAGGTCATTTTGTTCAAAGTTCAATGAGCAGCAAGAGCAAACAGTAGCTGACTTCAGAGTCCTCCATCCACCTGGATGGCAAGATTCTCAGTAACTTCCTCCAACTTCCACTCCCCCACACTAGCATCTTCCTTTTTCATTTTCTGTGTTCTGCACCTATCTAGACACCCAGGGAAGTCAGAAAACCATCCTTTAAAAACCTCTTCCAAAAATCTTTCTTCTAACCTGAAGCCCACCTATCATATGTACAAATCACCAATTGAGCAAAAGCACATTATTTGTAAGAGATAAATATTCTCATCTGATGTAACAAGGGCAATACAGGGTTAAAAACGCAAGGGAAAGTTTGCACACACAGTTACTCGCTCTCCCAATTGACTTTCCTCATCTCTTAAACCAAGTAAAGGGGGCAAAGGTGCCAGGCGTTGTCAAAGGGGTAAGTATAGAGAAGAGAGGCAAGTAGAGAGTGGCAGACTATATAGGTGACCCCAGCCAAAAGGGAAGAAGGAAGAAAAAGGAGAGGACGGAGGGCAGCCTCTGGTGGGAGGCATACATGGCTCCTGTGGAGGCCCAGGAAAACATGAACTTCCCCAAAGACTCAGAGATGTGGCTCAGAAGGGCTTAGCTTGGCAATGAGATCCAGAAGCCCAGTGGCAAGTTTCTCTTCTTTTTTAAATATTTATTTTTTAGTTATAGGTGGACTCAATATCTATTTTATTTTTATGTGGTGCTGAGGATCAAACCCAATGCCTCATCACACATGCTAGGTGAGTGCTATCTCTGAGAGACAACCCCAGATCCTTCTTATCTTCTTTAGAGAGAGCTTCCAGCTCTGGTAGTAGCCTTGGTGTCGCTGTTTGGGATTTAAGTACCACTCACTCACCACCATCACTACTACCAGGATGCCTTTACCCACCCCCACCCCCACCCCCAATGAAATCAGTCTTACCCCACACAGGAGTGTAATTTGAATCAGGATGGTTTCTCCTTCAATTGAAGGAGAGGATCTCTCCTTCTCCTCCTGTTGGAAATGGGCTGGATGCTGCCCCTTTATACATTTTAGAGTACCAGATCAGGAGAGGGGGAGAAAGGGAGGGAGCAGCAGTTTGAGGCTGATCCAATTTTTGTCTCTGGCATCTTCCCTTTCTCTCTTCTTCTCATTGGATTTTTCTGCACCCTTCCTTCTGGCCCTGGCAGCTCTACTCCCCTTCCTCACTGCAGCATTCTGCAGCCAGTTCTTCCCAAGTTGGGTAAGAGGCTGCTATTGGGATGTACGTTTCTGGTGATGCTTCATATTTAAGGTGAATTTTTAGACTGATATGCCAGGGAAAGATTGAGTTCCAGAGGTGGGTATATCACAGGAGATGATAGAAAAATTCAGGGCTGGGGCTGTAGCTCAGTGGCAAAGCATGTGTGAGGTATTGGTTTCAATCCTTAGCACCACATAAAAATAAATCAAGACATTCTGTCCATCTACCATTACAAAAATAAAAAAAGAAATTCACCCAGGTAGCCAGCAACATATTGGTGTTGGGAGCAGCTGGGAGGTACGATTTGAACCCGAGTGTCCAGGGAGTTCATTTCGGAAGAGGACTGACAAGTGTTCACTTGGATTACAGGGATTGCCTTGGTGACATAGTCAAAGACAGCATGATACATTACAGTGGTAGAACACAGAATAATGCCACGCATCAGTTCAGTTTTCTCATCTGTAAAATAGGGGAATAAATGCTCACTCCCGTAGTGCTGTGGAGAAGAGTGTGTCAAATAACATAGGTAAAGTACTGAGCACTTGCCACTGAACCCAACAAAGGAGGAGTTTGCCCCAGGGTCACAAAGTAGTAGAGTCAGGATTGGAACTCTTCTCCCAAACACCCTCCACTACTGGAGTGGTGTCTTCAGCTCTACTTTATCCTCTCAGAGGGTCACCAGTGCTATCCTTAGGGACTTGGTGGAGGTGGAAGTAGGGAGGTAGATTAGGTATGGACTCCATGCATACCACTTGGTCTCAGTCTCAAGGGACTAAGGCTCAGGCTTCTGCCTCCTTCCCCTTATCATCACTCAGGTAATCTTTTCATGTCATCTTGGACTGATTCATTGCCACTTTAGCGCCATCTCTGCTGCCCAACTCTGAGGTGGTGACTCACCCTCTAGCTGGCCAGGGGCCCCTGCCCTCCAGGAAAGAAGCTTTCTTCTTAATTGACTGCAGAAGCCTCTGCCACAGTGAAAATAAATGCCCTTCCAGGCAGGCTTAGAGATGGAGGGCTTTGAGGAGGAATAGAATGGTCTCAGGTCCAAAGCCATTGCCTTTCATCCTCCTAGTGCCCAGGGTGCCACTACTGGAGTTCCCCCTCCAGGTTTCTTACAATTTTATACATAACCCTTAAGTTTCAGTATTTACAAGGGATTTCACTCAGGACATCCCTGTGGTGCATTAGAGAGTGGTGTGTCTGGCACTGTGCTGGGTACTGGCAGGAAGTAAAGTAACATGAGAGATCCCTGGCACCCAATGAGTGTTCATTGCAAGTTTACAAATATTAACAGCACCTTGGTAAAGGACGGAAGTATGCACAGGAAGGGGGTTGTGATTGGCAGCCAAATCACTCCACCAGCCTCTAATCTCCTTCCCCACCCCAACTCTTACATCTTTGTCTTTTTGATGAGGATTTCGGAGATGGGGAAGGATTGACCATTTGTGTGTGTTAATTGGGATAAGTACTTCTAACATGTCACCTCTACAAACCTCAAAAATACCCCGTGCCCTAAGCCAGCTACAAAATGGCAGAGTAGGATTCGAACCTCTAACTCCCAAGCCTGTGCACTCTGCACAGCACTTTATACAACGCGTCTCCAAGCAATGGGAGGGGAAGCGCTCCTCTTCCCTCATATCCCTTCCTCTGCTGACCATTCATCTACACAGAAAGGACAAATTCTGGAGTGACCCCTTGTAGCCCGTTTACGGTGGGAGGGACCCTCAGTTCTGCCGACCACTCTGCCACCCCCTGCCGCCGGTGGCTCCTGATCAGAGGCTTCAGCTCCGCACAGGTCTAGGGGGCTAAGAAAAAAGCTCACCAACTGCCTTAGAGCCATCCGGTACTAGGTTTCAGATAGCCTTGCCAGATTTGGTGACGTAAGAGGGAGGGAGGGGCATTTACAGAGCCCTACTATGTGTCCAAAGCAGGAGTCCTTGATTTCTAATAGCTATTGCCTTTTACACGGAAAACGTGTTGTTATGCAATATAGTGAGCTCTCCATTAAGGGAAGTCTTCAAGCTAGAACAGGTTTCGCAAAGCGCTTGTGTGCAGAACTCCTTACTTCTTGAAACCAATAAACACCTACACCCCTTAATAATCTCCTGATCTCTGGAGTGGGGGGGGGGATGAAGAAGCACATCCCCTGGGGAGCGGGCAAAGGTCAAGGCAGTGATGGGGTGGGGGGAGGGGGCAGAAGGGAGGGTGCAGGGAGGAGGAGCCTCCGGCAGGGTCGACTGTAATCTGAGTCAGGGTCCCTGCAGCGCCTGCCGGCAGATTCCCGGGACCTTCCCCTTCCGGTTTTCCTGGGCTCCTACAGGACCCCACCTGGACCCAACTTACTCCCTTTGCATGAGAATGGGGAACAAAGGGCCAACAACCCAGGTCAAAGGGAAAAGAGCATCTGTGCCCGCTCCGCCTTGCCCGCCCATCCTCCCTCCTTTCTTCCCCGCCTCCACTCCTCGCCCCCTTCTCTTCCGCCCAGAGAGAAGGCGGGGGCGGGCTGTGTGTGTATGTATGTATGCATGTACGCGTGTGTGCGCGCTCGGGTGCGGTACGTCTGTGTGTTCAGTGTGTGGACGGGAGTATATGGGGTGTGTATGCGGTGCATGTTTTAGCCCAAGTGTTTGGTGTGGTATGCATTTGGTTCGAGCTCTGGCATGAAGCATGTGCTTGTGCATGCACGCTTGTAGGTTGTATGTTTCTGCCTGATTATAATCAGTGTGACTGAGGGTGCGGTCTGGGTGTGGGTGTGTTCAATGTGTGTTTCAGGGTTTGTGATCATGCTGTGGTGAGTGTGTACTAGCTTAAGCTTGTGTGCATATGTATATTGGATGTGTGCTTAGCCTTAAATGCTGTGTGTCAAGGTGGATTTACAGGTGGGTTTTTTTTGTGCAGTGTGTACATCGGTGAGCAAGGTATCTCTTTACGTCTATTTAAGGTGTGTATGTGTGTTCAAAGGTTTGTGTATGTGAGGATTCTGTGTGCCTTTTAATTGATAGGTTCAGGTGTGTGGTGTGGATGCATGTGGCCAGCATATGTGCTTGCATGGAGGGCTGAAGATGTGTGCCTTGGAGGGGGTCACACGAATGTATGGGTGCAGCGTCTGAAAGCATGGAGTTGTCCAAAAGAACCCAAGTGATCCTGCATGTGGTTGGGGGGGGGGCTGGGTGTTGGGGACATTGCACCTGACTGGGACCAAGAAGGAGGTAGGGGCTGCGACCCCAGCAGGGGTGACAGCTGGCCTGATCTCATCAATGGAAGTCTGCCTGCCCTTACCTTCGCTGTGCCCCGCAATTTGCAAGTTCGGATAGGGCGGGGTGTGAACTTACCTGGCTGCTTAAAGAAAAGAAGAGGAGTGCTCCGCAGGAGATTTGGCCAGGTAGGGTGCCTAGCGTGCGCGTGGTGCCGGGGCTGGTGGGTGTAAGCTGGAAATATTGTTGGTCACTGACCCCCATCTCACTACCACCCCACCAGGAGATCCCAGTTTTTGCCAAGCTGAACACAACTATTTGTTCAAGGCCTGGATGTTTCACACCTCCTTGACCTTGTGTGGGGCAGATCCAGTTGTCTGGAAGCCCTTTCCCTCATGACAAATTCCCATTTTTTTTTAAAGACCTAACTCAAAAGTCACAAAACTTTGTTTCTCTGTACCCTCTCCCTCCCCAGTTGAGGGCTCCCTCTTTGGGCCAGCACAATTACAGGCTTCATGCTTCTTATGACATGATCATACATAACTGCAATTATTTGACCTTCCACTTATTTCTGAGCTGCCATGGAGAATGCCTGGTATATATTAATAGTAATTATTATGTTTCCATTTACTAATCACTTACTGTGTACCAGGCATTATCCCCTTGAATTCTCACAATGAGGCTGTGAGGTAAATGGAGATAGAATTATCAATTTTTTTACACTTCACACATCAGACTCAGAGTAGTTGAGTAACTTCCCCAAGGTCACACAGATCATAGGAGGTAAAACTGGTATTTGAACTCCAGTCTGCCATGATCCCTACACCTTTCTTCTGTACCAGGCAGCCTCACTAAGAGTCCTCTGATCCTTGCTAGACATTGAAGTCTCTATCAAATAATGTGATTTCCAAGTGTCTTTCTTTTGAGTTTTCTGACAGTACCAGGAGTACTCAGCATAATTACTTTCTCTATCTCCCAGACAGCTGATACTTTCACCACCTAATTACCTGCTTTGTGGCACCTCAAAATCTTTAGTTACTCTAGGCACTGAAGCACCTTCCTCATCTCCAGTTCTGGGAGCTCTCCTTAGGCTGGTGCTGAAAGAAAGAGCCGAGAATGGCCATTTTCTGACCACAGGATGGTAGAATTGGTTATGGGGGAGAATGGAGGTGAGGGCTCAGGATGAAGGGAGGAAAGGATTTTATAGCTCCCCCAGACCCATTGTTATAGCTTCCTCATCAGGAGTTGGTATGCTGTGAATTTCAAACAGACCAGTCCTCTCTATATCAGACTGCACATCGAAAAACAAGCAGCGCGTCCCCCTCAGAAAAGATGACTGAATGGGCCCCATTTTGTATTATTCATCACTGAGGGGGGGCACTGTGCTTGCCTAATGAGACTCATGGGGCTCCAGCGCCTTCTAAGCAGCCTCATCTGAGAAATTCAAATTAAAACAGATTACATTTGGGGGAACACATTTATGGGGGCCATGGTATCAGCCCAGTCACAGCTGAAGGATTTCTGGAATGCCTGGCTCCCCATTCAGCTCCCAGGGAACCAGCCTAGGCTGCTGCAAATAAGTCAGGGGGTGGAGAGAGGGACAGACAGTTCAAAGATGGTGAGTCACTTTGCCACTTTTCAGGGGGGAAAGTGAGAAGCACAGTTTAAATTGCCACTGTTATTATTGTGCCCTTTCAACTGGCACAAATGAGCCTAGCGTGGAGACGAAAAGCAGTTGGAAAATCCATAAATCTCTCCCTGCAGCTGGGCCTGGGTCAGCACCTCATCCTGGGTGGGCAGGAAAAGCATTACCTACCATATTATGTAGCCAAAAAGTCGTCTTTGGGGGACACAAAAGGGCTAGAGAAGCCAGTCTAAAATGTGCAGGGCACAGACTACCTGAAATCTTTGCTTTCATCACACTTACCTCTCCACAAGGAGTTCATGAAAACTTTGGTATCACCCAGAATCTGGTGTCAGGCTAGTCTGACACCACCTTACTCTCCTCTGAATACACTAGCTTCACTTCCACCTCTTCATGGCACTCAGGTGAGGCCTCTTCTCTCATTCCCAACACACACGCACACACACACACACACACACACACACACACACACACACACTCACTCACTCACTCCTTGGAACTTAATATTGCCACAAGTCTCTCCCTCTTTGGGGTTTAGAAATGTCCCTGTAACACAGGATTATATGGAGAATTGTAAAGGTGTAATATGCTTTAATAACTCCTAATTACTCAAATAGAGATTTGCTTGCTTGCATCCTGAAAAAACAAGAATCTATGGGGCAGAACACCAAAATGTGAATTTCTGGAGACAGATCTTGCTTTCCCTATGAGAATAAAGCCCTGGAAAATCAGCTTCTACCTTTTTTCATGTGGGCTGAGAAAGACCATATGCTTTGGAATGAGACAGCTTTGAGTTGGCATCCCAGCTCAATCACTTGCTGGGTGATCCTGAGAAGGTTCTTTGCCTCTCTGAGCCAGTTTTCAAATGTAAAATGGAGATATTTAATGCCTACCTTAGAATTTCCCAGATGACTGAAGTAGGAAAACCATGGAAAGTGCCAGATGAATACCTAACATGCATTAGTAAATATGAAAGAAAAGGTTAGTTTTTTTTCTTCTCATGTAGTCCAGCGTGTCTTAACCAGGATTATTAAGGAGTGGAGGTGACTGACTAAGCTGGTAATTTTCCTCATTACTGGTTTGTCTAACACTCTTGAAATAGTCCTTTTAGGATGATGTTTTGATCAACCTAATGCAGCCCCGGAAGAATTGAATCTTAAGTCCAATTCTCACTCTGCAGTTTCTCCTGGCAGCATTAATGAGAACAAGGTTTCCAATGTAATATTCTGTACGGAAAAGTCTGAAACTTTTTGCTCAGTGTCCACTCTTCTACCTATCCAACTGCAGATCCAGCCTCAATCCTGCCTCCTAGATATGTGCCATTATGCTCAAGAAAAGAGGGTGACTATTTCTTTTCTCTATGACCTGTTTTTCACCCCCTCACCTCTACCCTAGAAATTAAGGGCTCCTAAAGCCAATTTCTAGTAGCCACCAAGGTTGGGAGGTACAGAGAATGCTGCAGTTCTGAGCAATGCTATACAGCACCTAAAATACGTCTGCTAAGTTCTTATTTCTTTCCACCTAAAGAGAAAAAAAAATCTACCCTTTGTCAAAACCAGTGAAGTGTGAGAAGACCCCGACTCATGTCCCTTCCTCCCTGATGCTTTTGCTTCCCTCTACAGACTAAAGCAAGTCATTACAAGCTAAAACTGCATTTGAGCCAGGAGTGGCGGGGAGGGTGGGGGAGGTTAAGTAGCCATAGGGGGAGTGAGTATAATCCCCGGTTTGGGGGGAGAGACTACAAAATAGAAGAGTAAGGAAATTTCTGGAAGCAAAAGCTCTGAAAGGCCATTCTTTGATGTTCCCAGTTTCTGGATGATGACTTCAACTCCCTCTCCTTCACCCCTCTTATTTATCCTGCATGCTAACCTCCCTCATTGACCCTAGACTCCTCTCTTCCAAATAATCTATTAGTCTTTAGGATTTAGGAATCTAAAAAAAAATCTCCAGCTCTTACCCTGTCGGCTGCAAAGAATGTCCTGCAGCCTCCACTTAGAGAGGGCAAATGACGGGGTAACAATGAAGGGTCAGCCACATCATCCAGGGAATATTTGGAACAGGGCTTTAGGATATGCCCATGCCACTTAATAGGTTTACTTCATAAGCAGGGACCTACTGGCTACCAAATATTGGGTGCCCACCCCAAGGACACCTCATGGTTTCTTTTTTTTTTTTTACCTCATAGTTTCTTAAGAGGTGTATCTGAGACGTGACAGTAGCTGCCAAGACTCAAACATTCTATCTACCTACTTCTGCTAATACATGTGAGAATAGATGATACTGCCAGAAGGCGACAGAAATCATTTCCTAGTGACTCAGCCCCAGCTATGAGGACACAGTTAGGATTGCATCTCCCAGTTGAAATGTGTACTTTTTCACAGAAAGTAATCTACAGATAATCAAACAGATCAAAGAGCGGAACTTAGACCCTGGGCAAGGTATCACCAATGGCATATTAACCTCCTAGTAAATGTATCAGCCATAGGTTGGCATAGTGCTAGGAGCTTTGTAAACGTTATCTGTTATCTTTTAATCTCAAATTTTGAAGTCAGACAAAAAGGGATTACACTGGTTGCTCAGCCACTGTGTGACAGGGAATAAAGTTACTGAACTTCTGAGTTTGTGTCTTTAAAACAGATAACACCTCAGAGTTGTTATGAAAATAAAATTAGGTGGTTTATATAAAGTGACTGGTATTCAGAAATAGTAATATGTGAAGAAATGGCTTTTGATAACTGTCACAGAAAGCATTTAATATAATGGCATCTATAACAACAACAACAACAACTATTATTTATAAACCAGCAATGTAATCATTATTATATCACTTTAAAAGAGGTCAAGTAATTGCTCAAAGCAATAGTACAAGAACAGGACTGGGATTGAAACCAGCTGTCCCTCTTTCTACTCAGCATTAGGGAATACCTCATGATCATGTTTGGCTAGCCTGATGTAGTCATTGTATTTAAACTAAAACATGAAGAAAAAAAATCCTTAAACTATGTATACTGGGATTCTAGATCCATGTATAGATTAACTGCATATCATAGGTGATAAAATTTTAAAAGATTTTTAGAAAACTTAATAGTTTAAGAACAAACTTCATTCAGATTTGAGAAAACAGAAAAAAACAATTACTATGTCACCACTTTAATAAAAGATCTAATTTTACCTCCTTGCTGAATTTTCTTCCAGTTTTTCAAAAGTCCAAGTTTGACAGTTACACTCATACCATTTTTTCCATGTCGTGTTCTTCACAGATGGTATGCAACCGTAAAAATGGCATATAACAAGTGAATATGTCATAGAGTTCATTTAACCATTCCACTATTGTTGGACATTTAGGTTGTCTTAGTAGGTAAGTGGGAAAACAAAGGAATGATGTTGCTTTCACCATTGCCATAATCACCCTCGGGGACCTAGTGTCCTGCTCTATCAAAGCTCAATGTGCTTTCCGTCATTTGATATTTAAGCTTGATGAATGTCAGCTCCACTGCTGGAGCCTGAGGTACATTTGCAAAAGGATTATTTTCTGCCAGTTTT